GTTTTGGGGTGGAAATCCGGAGTATGGCTTTCAGACATGTTAAGTTTGAAATGCTTATTGGGCATCTAAGTGGAAAATACATATTAAGTATATTATATCCTAGAGTTCAGAAGAAAAAGGCAACCTACAAACATAGTTTCACAGTCATCAGTGTATGATCTGTAAAGTCACGAAATCAGATGAGTTCACCTAGGGAGAAGCGCAGGCCAAGAAGAGTTCTGGAGCACTGGTACAGTCAGCAGTAAGGAGGAAGCAGCAAAAGATACCAAAAACGAACGCCTAGAGAATTAGGAAAATGAGAAGAGTGAGGCCCTTGGTGCCAAGTGAAAAAGGGTTTCAGGAAGAATGAAAGGATCAAGGGCAAATACTGCCAGTAAGTAAAATTAGTGAATAGTAATGACTTTGAGTTAATTGAGTTAAGCAAAGTGAGGCTTGCTGATGCCTTGATGAGAGCTGTTTTGGTATGTGATGAAATTATAAAGTTTGACTGGAGAAGGTTCAAGAAAGAAGGTAGAGAGAAATTAGAGACACAGACAATTCCTTTGAGTTTTTCCTGAAAAGGGAAGCAGAGAAAAGAGACAGTAGCAGGTAAATGGCTTTTTGGGACAGATCTCAGGTGGAAATAAAAACAAGGATAAGAAAGAATAGGGTGTGGAAGCTCTAGAAATGTCAGGCAGTCAATGAAACAAAGTAGAGAACAAGGAGATAAAGAAAGGGAGTAGAAGTCTAAGAGGGGAGGATGTGGCAGGCAGTTCTGGTGAAATGCAGACTCTCGCCAGCCTGTGGAGAGCACAGGTTTTGAAACTAGGAAGGAGTCACCATTTTTGGGCAGCCACAGGCCATCATTACATGAAGTTGTTACTACCAGTTTGCTCTAAAGCACCAAGTCACGACTATCTCTTCCTTTGGCTATTCGTCCCTGGGATTTACTTCATACTGGCTTATGTTACAATTAATAGTATGTTGAGGGAGGATACAAAATCAGTCTAGCAGAGCAAAAAGTAGAAAGGAACATTAGCAATGAGATGTTGGTGAGAAGGGACAAGAAGAAGAAAATAGGACATAGGTTCACAAACAATGTTAAGCAGAAAGTCTAAACAAAACATACTGACAAAGGAAAACGTGCACAGAAAATCCAGGCAAGTATAATAGGCCTCACTGGTAAGCGGAGTTACAGGACAAAATGATTTTTCCATCCTAATTATATTTAAATCATTTGATAAAAAGATGTGATTTCTAAAGTCAAGTAAAAGGAAAACATCACTAAGTTAAAATATAGGAAAAAAACATGATTAAAATTTGGTGTATTTTTATTTTATTTTTTTTGAGACAGGATCTCCCTCTGTCGCCTAGAGGGCAGTGGCACGATCACAGCCCACTGCAGCCTTGACTTCCAGGGCTCCAGTGATCCTCCCACCTAAGGCTCCTGAGTAGCTGGGACCACAGGCACACAGCACCATGCTCAGTTTATTTTTGTATTTTGGGTAGAGACGGTGTTTCACCACATTACTCAGGCTGGTCTTAAACGCCTGAGCTCAAATGATCCACCCGATTCAGCCTCCTGAAGTGCTGGGATTATAGGTGTGAGCCACTGTGACTGGTCAAAATTTGGTGTATTTTTAATTTTCCAAATATAAGAAGATATAAAGTGAGAAGATATAACAGACTATGAAGAGAGCTGTAGGGAGCACCAGAAGGAGATGAAGAAAAGCCCACATATAGGCTGAGAAATACCTAAAGAGTATGAGAACCAAGAAAATGGTGTCATAGTAACAAAAGGAATAAGAAGTTTGAAGGAAGGTGTATTTGATAGCATCTAATGCTTGAGAGAAGGTAAATATCAACTGGATTCCGCAACAAGGAAATAATTGGAGAATATAATTAACATTTAGGGACCTAGAGTGGTAAGTCTATGAGTGAATGCAGTCTCCCCTAGGAGGGGTGTGTTTTTAAAAGGAGAAACACAAATCAGAGACCTACCATGTTTAAAACAGAAAATTTAATGGGAAAGTTTAAGGCTCAGGAGGGCTGAAATAATTTTTTTAAATGGTTAATGAGTCAGGCAAGAAAGTATGTGATTCAAGGCACAAGTAGACTAGCCTCAGGCAGAAAGAATCTCTCTTGAGATAGGGGCAAGATGTACAAATGCAGGCATAATAGCAGGAGGAGTAGTTTAGTAGCTTCTATGTCCTCTGAGAAGAAGAAATAAGACCATCTTTATAGGAAAGGTGAGCTAGGCACCTTCCTAGGTACCTCTGTTAAGGTTATATAGCATAAGCCTAAATGACTGAAATGAGTCCTATGTATCTGATGCATTATAAACTCTAATAATATTTTACTATTTTTCACATTAAAATAATATAGCCAGTTTTTAAATTTAGCATTTGAACCATAATTCATACCGAAAAAGTTCTTCAAACACACAAAAAATTCACCCCTTCAAAATGTTTACAAGGCAGGTA